CCCGTGGCGGGGAAAAAAAAAAAAAAAAAAAAAAAAAAAAAGAAGGCCCTTGTGAACAATAGTGGGACTGGAATTCCAGTAACAACTGAAATTTCATATAGAAGTGAAGATAGGTTGAGTAAAGCCAGAAAGTATAGCTAGGAAGAAAAGGAAAGGAGGGAGGAAAGGGGTTGGAGGGAAATCCTTCTAGAAAGAGACTTGAGCAGGGGAGGAAGGAAAGAAGGAAGGAAGGAAGGAAGGAAGGAAGGAAGGAAGGAAGGAAGGAAGGAAGGAAGGAAGGAAGAATCTTCTAGAAAGGGACAAACAGGGTAAAAGCTGATGAGAAGAAAGTAAAAAAGGAAAGTCTGCAAGTTTAAAGGACAGGAAGCAAATGTGATCTGGATCCCAAGACCCAGTAAGAGAACACAATCTGAAGTAGCATTGTGGCCAATGCCCTTAGGTAAAAAGACAAGCATTTTCCTGGGAGAGAGGGAAAAAGGAAAGGAGGTGGTTTTCACAATGTTGGATGAGTTCTGGCTTCTATTCTTCCTGTGACATCAAGGAGAAAGTCATCTGCAGAGAGTAAGGGAGGTGTCAGGTGAGAGATTTGAGGGTAATGGAGAGGAATTACCAGGGAGAAGGAAGATGTTGAATTCAGGGGACTTGAAGTGAATGTGTCAGGACACACTCACTAGTTCACACTCTTGATTTCCTTTTCTCTTAACCCATTTAATTGCTACAGTATCTCAAAACAAATGGAACTTTAACATCTAAGCTTACTAGAAAACTGCATTGTGTTTCTTTTAATTTTTTTTTTTAAGATTTATTTATTTATTTGTCATGTATACAGTGGTGCCAGAAGAGGGCACCAGATCACGTTACAGATGTGATCTGGATCCCAAGACCCAGTGAGAGAACACAATCTGAAGTAGCAACCATGTGGTTTCTGGGAATTGAACTCAGGACTTCTGGAAGAACAGTCAGTGTTCTTAACCTCTGAGCCATCTCTGCAGCCCCTGCACTGTATTTCAATGTTTCTCTCTAATCCTTTTCTCACCTCAGCCCATTCCAGACGATGGGATTTATTGGCAAGTCAACCTTGACAGATTCCACCAGCACTTCCGTGACCAAGCAATTGTGAGCGCAGTTGCAAACCGAATGGACCAGGTAACATCTAAGTGGTTCAGCCAGTGTTGAGCAAGAAGTAAGGTCAATTATTCAGGTGGTTGTTAGCTGTGGCCAGCGGCTCAGAGGCATCAACAGTGAATTCTGAATTCTTGTTTCCTTTCCAGACAAGTAGCGAGATTGTGCGGACAATGCTCCGGATGAGTGAGATAACCACTCCCTCGGGTGCCCCATTTACCCAGCCCCTGTCCTCCAATGAGGTACACTTCAATTTCCTTTTTGTTTCTTTTCTTTTTTTTTTTTTTTTTTTTTTTTTTTTTTTTTTTTTTTTTTTGTTTGTTTGTTTTTGTTTTGTTGTGCTGTGTTTGGGTTTTTGTTTTGGTCTTTCAATGTAACCCTGACTGTCCTAGAACTTCCTAGGTTGCCCTACTATCCCTGAAATCACAGAGACCCACCTGCCTCTGCTCCCCGGTGCTTCACTTAGAGGTCTGCACCACCACCACTCCTGGTTTAGCTGTTTTTGTGCTAGCTCTCTGATAAACATAGGTATTATAACAGTTATTAGAAATAACTTGTAGGGTTGTGTTGATACCTGTGCTTTGGAGGCGAAAAGGAGTTTCTGTTGTTGGAATAGGGCAAAGATTTCTTGGAAATGGTAAGCACAAGACTGTTTGGCCACTTAGGATCCAGCTTTTTAAAATGTTAAGCAATGGGGGTGGGAGAGATGGCTCAGTGGTTGAGAGCACTTGACTGCTCTTCCAGAGGACCCAGGCTCAATTCTCAGCTCACACAAGACAGGGCACAACAGTCTGTAACTCCAGTTCAAAGGGATCTTACTCCCTCTTCTGACTTCATTGGTTGCTGTTTACACACTGGTCATACGTTCATGCAGGCAAAACATATATATGAATAAGGGAATTAGGAAAAAAAAAAAAACAGGCATGGTGGCACATGCCTTTAATCCCAGCACTCAGGAGGCAAAGGCAGGTGAATCTCTGAGTTCAAGGCCAAGCTGGTCTACAAAGCAAGTCCTAGGACAGCCAGGGCTACACAAAGAAACCCTGTCTCAAAAAAAGTGTTAAGCCATTATTATAGTTAAATATCTGTCAAGTACAACATATTTCTAATTGTTTTAAGAATCTAAGTACCAGGTGTGCTGGCACATGCATGAATTTTACCTGTTTAGAAAGATGCTGAGGATTGCTTGAGTTCAGGAGTTCAAAGCTAGACTGGCCTTTCTCATGAAAGCCTTAGCATTTTAGACATTACATTTCTATTACTTTTATAATTACACTTACTTAAGTCTTGTTATTATACTTTATATTATTTCTAAGTTTTTGTAGTTGGTTGATTTGTTTGGACAGGGCCTGGTCTGGAACTTGCTCTGTAGACCAGGCTGGCCTCTGTTTCCCTATGCTATGATTAAAGGCCCTGCTTTCTGAGTTTTTGACCCTTGTAAATTTGACCCTTGTAAATTTCATGAGTTTCTTGAGCCTTGTAAGTTTTAGCTTCCAGAGTCTTAAGAGCCTCCCTCTGGAATGGAAAGTTTAACTTTGGAGACTTTGGCTACACAACAACCCACAGTCTTCCCGTCTCAGCCTCTGGGATAGCTGGTATTAACTGCAGATATGCACCACTGTACTTGGTTGTACTTTCCTTTAATTAATTACTTATTAGTAGACATTTGGGTTGTTTCTTATTTTACTCTGTTTCTGTCAGGGTCTGACTATGCAGCACTGACTATTTAGAACACACTCTGTAGACCAGGCTGGCTCCAAACTCAGAGATCCACCTGCCTCTGCCTCTCAAGTTCTATGATTAAAGAGGCTCACCCCCTTGGCCTTTGTTTTACTCTTATAAACAATGATATATGAATATTTTTAGACATTTTTATGTTTTGAAATCTAACATTAGGACATCTGGTTTCAGTCGTGTTAGCAGTTCTGCATTCCCAGGCCCCACTTCCAGAATCCTCTTCTGTTTGTTCACAGATCTTCAGGTCCCTGCCTGGCAGCTATAACATCTCTAAGCAAGTCCTTGATCAGTACCTCACACTGCTGGCTGATGACCCAGTAAGTCTCCTCACCCTCTTGGTCTAGTTAAAATTTATCTCTGCCACTAAATCCTAATATTCTCCTGTAGCCTTCTTGTCTACTTAGGCATCCCAGACAAAGTCCCCATCATTCAGCAGAAACTACCTGCTTCAGATGCTTGGCCAGATTTGCTCCACGGCAAGCAGAATCACTGGACTTTACATTCAACTAACATCATTTACTCTTTCTTTTTTACAGCTAGAGTTTATTGGAAAGTCTGGCGACAGTGGTGGAGGAATGTATGTCATCAGTATCCTTGTCAATTGTCTGTTCTGTCAGAACCCCTGAGTTTGGAAGCAGAAGGGTGACCTAGAAAAGATTGTTTTTTGTTTTCTGTTTTTTTTTTTTTTTTTTTTTTTTTTTTCTTTTGAAATAGTCTCATGTAGCCCAGGCTGACCTTGAACTCACTGTGTAGCCTAGTTGTTAGCACTGAACCCCTGATCCTCCTGCCTCTACCTCCCAAGTGCTGGGATTAGAAGCATGTGCCACCCCAGGAAAGGAGTTTTCTGATCCCTAATATAACTAAACAACTTCAAAAGTTGAAATAACTTTCTATTAATTTTCTGTGAACTTTCAGTGAGTTACATTAATGAAAATCAAAACAGCCCGGGACTGCCATCATTCGGTAGCGCCTCACTCACAATGTACAAGGCTCTGGGCCAGACCAGCAGCCCTGCAACAGAGAAAGAAGAAGGTGGGAGAGGTGAGGCAGAGAGCTGGGGAAAGGGAGTATGATGGTCAGTGCTTATAATCAGAGCAGCTTGGAGACCGAGACAGAAAAGTTGAATGTTCAAAGTCAGTCTGGGATACATAGTAAGATACTGTCTCAAAAAAGGGGGGAGAGGCTGGAGAGATGGCTCAGTGCTTAAAAGCACTGACTACTCTTCCAGGGGACCCAGGTTCAATTCCCAGCACCCACATGGAAGCTCACAACTGTAACTCCAAGGTCTGACACCCTCACACATACAGGTAAAACACCAATGCACATAAAGTAAAATTAAGAAATAAGTTTACTTAAGTAAAATCCTTGCAAATGTTAATATACTTATATTATACATGAATTGTGAAGAGCAAAAATTATTTAATTTTTAGTTATAAACTTGGAATTTAGTCATAAAACTAAGTCACAATGACCAGGCCAAACATTACTGAATGCCCTTAACCTCTACAATAAAGACCTCCATAAGGCATTGGCCTCCCTAGCCACCGCGACTCTGGAGTCTGTCATCCAGGAGAGGTAAGAGGCTCTCTGATTGGGGTTGGACTCAAACACTTTCTAGCCGCACGCCATTTAACAGGTAATTTGGTTTTTATGGTATACTTTGCCATGCACACTTTCATCTTCCAGTGAAACTATTCTTCTCTGTAAAACTAATTCCTAGTTAGTAAATTAACCAGCCATCCTAAAGCTCTGTAATACAAGAGCCGTGGCCCTCAAAGGAGTGGGCATTTGGTGACAAGTTATGATTAACAGTGCCATCACCAACTTCTGAAGCTATGAAAGGACTCTTGACTGCTGTCCCCCTCTGCTCCTGACCCCACATATGGAATAGTACATCCACACTCTGAGATAAATATACCATGTGTTTCTTTGTTCCTTCCCAGATTCGGGTCTCGCTGTGCCAGAATATTCCGTCTGGTATTGCAGAAGAAACACCTGGAGCAGAAGCAGGTGGAGGACTTTGCCATGATTCCTGCAAAGGAGGCAAAGGATATGCTGTATAAGATGCTCTCAGAGAACTTCATATCACTCCAGGTAGCCACAGCTTTATTGCCTGCCGAGCGGCAAGCCTGACCAAGGCAGGAAAACCTCCTAAGGAAGTTACTTTGGGTTCCCAAGACAGACACTACAGCCACCTCTGAAACAGAAAAAAAGGATTAACACAGACATAGCAAATCCATGAAGAATCATGTAGAGTTTATCTGGCCTAGTAAGAGAGACAGGCAGAGCACACCAAGAAATCAGCTCTAGGCTGTAACTTTCCTGCCCTTTTCAGCCCCCAGCCCATTACTCCTGACCTTCTGAGAGCCTTAAATCTTTAATAACTCATTCAGCGTATCTTGGACCCTTGTAGAACTTATGTTGGGGAACTCTGTTGAGGAAGCAGATTGAATGGATCAATTCACCAAGCAAGTCAACTACCATCATTTCCATGTCTGTAAAATGGTGGTGAATGATGAGATAAGAACAGTGCAGGGCCTGGTGGTGGTGGCACTTGCCTTTAATCCCAGCACTTGGGAGGCTGAGGCACGAGGGTCTCTGAGTTCAAGGCCAGCCTGGTCTACAGAGTGAGTTCCAGGACAGTCTCCAAAGCTACAGAGAAACTCTGTCTCAAAACACCAAAAAAAAAAATAAATAAAAATCAAACAAACAAAAACAGTGTTGTTTAGGCCAACTGTGGTAGTGTGTACCCAGTACTTGGGAAACTAAGGCTGGAGGATTGAAAATTTGAGGCCATCATAGCTATGCAGTGTTACACTGTCTCAATTATTAATAAGTAAGGTATTATGAAAATCAAATACAATCCTCCTGGCATGTGTAGAGTTTATTCAGTAAATATTAGAAGCCTTTCCTTTCTTTCAGGATGCTGATAGAAAAATAGGAAGCCAGGCAGCCTGCTTCATGTGGTGATTATGTCATAAACATCACTATTGATTGCCTAGGGAAGAAAGAAGTGTCAGTAAACATGAGGGCTGACTGTGCCAGTGGATGGGTGTTTACTTTGCCAGTTCCAAAGAACAATTTCTCTTTATTTCTGTGGACATACAGGAAATTCCTAAAACCCCAGACCATGCCCCATCCAGGACCTTCTATCTGTACACGGTGAATGTACTGTCGGCTGCCAGGATGCTGTTGCACAGGTGCTATAAGGTAACAGAATTCGGGCTTTCTCCGTCCCTCACAGATGGCCTCACCCTCCCACCTCCCTTGCCCACTCCACGCCACTTAGAACTGTTCACATTTCTAGTCTGTGTTCTCTCTCCTCAGAGCATAGCCAACTTGATAGAAAGGCGGCAATTTGAAACGAAAGAGAACAAGTGAGTGAACTCTTCTCCACTGGGTCATCTACACTCTTCCCCCCACCCCAATCTGTCAGACATCTCTTTTTTTATACTATTTTTTCCACTGAACCAATAACTAAAACACTTTGAGAATACATGGTGTCCCTTCTCCTTTACCTGGTACCTGTGGGCCCCAACACATTCATTTACATTTTTCAAGGTCCAAAGCCTGAGGGAAAACTTGCTATAAAAATGGCAACAGTAGGCCAAGCAGTGCTGATGCACGCCTTTAGTCCTAGCACTTGGGAGGCTGAGGCACAAGGATCTCTGTGAGTTCGAGACCAGCCTGGTCTACAAAGTGAGTTCCAGGATAGCCTCCAAAGCCACAGAGAAACCATCTCGAAAAACCAAAAAAAGAAAGAAAGAAAGAAAGAAAGAAAGAAAGAAAGAAAGAAAGAAAAGAAAAGAAAAGAAAAGAAAACAGTAGCCCAGTACACAGTATAGTTGCATTGAGTCATAGGTTTGGGTTGGCATAGCCATGCCTTAGTTAACACTTGTTGACTATACCCCCAATTAAATAATTTTGCAAATTTATGAGGCATGTGCTTGACCCCAGAGTTCAAGTTTCAAGAACAAGGTTCTATTTGTGATTAAGTTATGGACAGTGTCTTTAGATGAAACATGGAAAGGAGGGACCTGGACCTCTGGAATAGAGTACAAGAGAATCTCAAAGTTAAGGACACACCTCACAGTTTTGTCTGTCTGATAGGCGGCTACTAGAAAAGTCTCAGCGGGTAGAAGCGATCATTGCATCAATGCAGGCCACGGGTGCAGAGGAGGTGCAGCTTCAGGAGATAGAGGAGATGATCACAGCCCCTGAGCGCCAGCAGCTGGAGACTCTGAAACGCAACGTTAACAAGTAAGTGGTGGGAATTCATACTGTACTTGACGATGCCTTTCAAACAAGTGTGCTTCACAGCCTGTGCTTCACAGCCTGCGCTCCTCCGATTCAGTGAGCAAACCTAATCTCAGCATCATCTTTCCTAGCCTAATTAAAAGAATTGAATCTACCAAGCATGGCAGCACAATCCTTTAATAGATCTCAATGAGTTCGAGGCCAGCCTGGTCTACATAGTGAGTTCCATGTCAGCCAGGGCTATATAGAAAGACCCCGTCTCCCCCCCACCCCCAAAAAAAAAAAAAATATTCAACCTGTTTTTCTAAGTAGCCATTCTGAGGCCATCATGCTTCCTTTCTATACTGTCATTCACCAAGTACTAAGAACTTTACTTCAGCCTCAAGTCTGGCGTTTCATCTTGGTCCTTTGTTGCCTCTTGCCTAGAGCTTTGCAGTAACCTGATCCTACAAACCATGTGTCACAATGCTCTTAAGGTGTGTGTGTGTGTGTGTGATTTTGTGTGTATTCTGGTCCTAACACTTGGATGGCAAGCAATTTAACCCTCTGGCCCATCTCCCCAACCCTCAGGTTATTTATTGTCTTTGAAGTGAGTAACAGCATCACTCTTCTAGTTGAAATGATTTATTGGCTTCCTTGCTTGTGTTTATGTTTGCTCATCCTTTGATTTGGAAGGAGTTACACTTTTTGACTAAAGGTCTCATATAGTCATACTGGCCTTGAACTGAATCTACTGATTCCAACACCTCCAAAGTGTTGGAATTACCAATGTATACCACCACCCCTGGCTGAGATGATTTATTGATTTGTCTTTTTACAATATAAAATCCAAGTTCATTGCTGTGCCATGAGGCCTTTCATAGTTTCATAGCAGTATACTTCCTGTTGTAGAACAGGTGTGGGTTCAATCAGGGCACTTTAAGGATGATTTTAGCCTTTCCAACTGCAGGACTCAGCCTGTAGGGGACTGAGACACCTTCCCTTAGGAAAGGTCCTTTTTTATTGTTCTCCAACTTACTCCTTTAGCAAGTTGATTTCCATATCCCCAAAACATCCTAAGCTTCCAAATGGACAATACCAAATGCAAATTCTTGATTAAGGAATATCACAGTGTGCTGGATTTTTCCCAACCAAGTTTTGCTTAGGCTTTGTACCCTTGGGAAACTCTTAGACACAATTCATATGTTAAATGCTGAAGCCAAAAGGGCAGATTAAGGCTATGTTCAGACACTCCAGAGCCAGCTGCAGCTGTGTAGCTGTTCTCCCTACAACTCCCATCTTTGTTTCCATTTACTCATTAACAGGGATTGTTAATTGTAATTTTATTTATTTTGTTTGTTTGTTTTGTTTTTTCGAGACAGGGTTTCTCTATAGCTTTGGAGGCTGTCCAGGAACTAGCTCTTGTAAACTAGACTGGTCTCGAGCTCATTGAGATCTATTAAAGGCTTGTGCCTGCCTCTGCCTCTGCCTCTGCCTCTGGAGTGCTGGGACTAAAGGTGTGTGTCACCACCTTCCGGCAATTGTAAATTTATTAATCCTAGTATTTTTTATGGGCTCCTAGGGATTTCCTATGTCATTTCTGAATAGTTTTACTTCTGTCTTTTCAATCTGATTGCCTTTTTTTTTTTTTTTAACTTGCCTAATTGCCTTGACTTCCAGTAGAAGGTTGTAAGGACATTTTGACTTTGTTCCTGATCTAAGGAGGGAAACTGAGTTTTTCACTATTAAGTGTGGTGTAAGCTGTGGTTTTATTTTCCCCTTTGGTTTTATAAGATTGGGAAAGTTACCCTTCCTGATTAGCACTAACTCTTCACCTCATGGTTTCGGAACTCGCTCTGTAGACCAGGCTGGTCTAGAACTCACAGAGATCCTCGGACCTCAGCCTCCCGAGTGCTGGGATTAAAGGTGTGCGCCACCACCTCCCGGCTTTACCTCTACTCTTACATATATATGCTTTTCTTTCTCATGGTTGTAAGTAAAACTTTTAAGTGTAGGCTCTCCTGGTTCTCTCTCTTGCCACATGCTCAGGAATAAATAAGCAATTCTTCATGACCACACCCAGCCCAGCTTCTAACCTTGAGCATGCTAGTGAGCAGTAACCCCAAGCAAATGCTTTCACTTTTTCCCTCAGGTTGGATGCCAGTGAGATCCAGGTAGATGAAACCATCTTCTTGCTGGAGTCATACATCGAGAGCACCATGAAGAGACAGTAACCCAGAAGAAAGCAGTGTTGGGATCTATCTTTCACATACTAGTCACCTGCTGTACCACTGAGTTATATCCCCAACCAGAAATCAGCTTCCTCTCAAAAGATCTAAGAGATAGGGAAGAAAAAAAAAAAGACAAAGTGATTGGATGCATTCTTTGTAGTGGGATAAGTTGCAGGTTTTTTTTATTTTATTTTGTTTTATTTTTTAGGTTTTTCAAGACAGGGTTTCTCTGTGTAGCCCTACCATGATACACCAGAGTTTAACATATTTTGTAAAATTTGTTTATAATAGACTCATATCCATCAATATATTCTCCTCTCATCAGATTTTTACAGTGAGAGGAACCTTAAATAAATGAGATTAATCATAAATTATATGTATCAGTTCTTATCAGGAAGTCATCGAGGGGCCAGCAAGATGACTTACTGGGCAAAATACTTACTGATCGAGCATGAGAACCTAAGTTCAGAAGGTCAGTACCCAAGTGAAATCCAGGTATGATGCCTGTGACCCTAACTCTGGAGATGGGCACGTCTCTGAAATGCATTGGCCAGCCAGCCTAGACAACTTGATGGGCTTCGGGTTCAGTGAGAGACCCTGTCTCAATAAATAAGGTGGAGGGCCAGCAAGAAGATGGCTCAGTGCATAAGGGAGCTTGCCACCAAGGCTGATAACTCAGCTCCAGAACCCAGATGGTAGAAGAAAACAAACTCGCACAAACTGTCCTCTAGCCTCTACATGGGCACCATGGCACACATAGATACATACACACACGTGCACACAAATGTAAAAATAATAGATAGGAAACAATCCAGGAAGACACCCAACACTCAGCTTCTGCTCTGCACACACATGCACATACCCGTACAACACACACACACACACACACACACACACACAACCACATACAAAAAGAAGTCCAGCAAAGCAGGTATGAAGGCACACACCTGTGATCCCACCAGTAAGGAAGCTAAGGTCGGGGGATTACTGTGAGTTCAAGGTCACCTTTTGATAAGTTTCAGGCTACTGTGGGCAATATAGAGTGAGAACCTGTCTTAAGAAAACAAAAATTAAGCCAGCCAAACTCAGATTGAAACATCCCTGAATTAGTTTCTTTTCTGTGGTGATAAAATGCCATGACCAAAGAATTTACAGAAACCTGGGCTTATAATCCAGAGTCCAAGATGGCAAAATGAAGACATGGTGGCTGGAGCAGGAAGCCTGCCCCAGTGAGGTAGTTTGAAAGAAAATGGCCCCCAAAGGGAGGGGCACTATTAGGAAGTGTGGCTTTGTTGGAGTAGGTGTGGCCTTGTTGGAGGAAGTGTGCCACTGTGGAGGTGGGCTTTGAGGTCTTATATGCTCAAGCCATGCACAGTATCTAAGACCACTTCCTGTTGTCTGCAGGATCAAGATGTAGCAGCCCCTTTTCCAGCGTCATGTCTGCCTGCACACTGCCGTGTTCCCCACCATGATGATAATGGACTAAATCTCTGTAAGCTGCCACCTAGATTAAATGCTTTCCTTTATAAGAGCCGTGGTCATGGTGTCTCCTCAGCAATAGAAGTCCTAACTAAGACACCCAGTGACATCCTCCAACAAGGCCACACTTCCTAAATTTCCCAAACAGTGTCATCAGTCAGGGACCAAATGTTCAAATGCCCAAGGGAAACTGTGGAACATACTCAAACCATCACACTCTCTCAAATTTCTTCCTAAGTAGTTAATTCATTTGCAAAAGTCTACACCTATTTCACTGAATTGTAATGTTTAACACATGCACTCAGTGTACAGAATGCCAAAGACTGCTGTAGAAGGAGGAAAAAGACTTTTTTTATTTGTTTGGAGCTTTTTGTGGTTGGTTTTGGTTTTGGTTTGTTTTTGAGATAGGGTCTTACTGTATAGCCAGACTGGCCTGGAACCTACTGTGTAGACCAAGCTAGCCTGTAACTTTCAGCAATCTTCCAGCTTCTGCTTCACAAATACTAGCATTAAAACATGCATTGCACACCCAGCAAGAAAAGCTGTTTTCAGAACTGACAGGTAAAGTGGTCCAAGTAGTTATATTGAATATATAGACAAAAGACACATTTGCCAGGCCCAGGCTTCTGGCACATCTGAAACTGTAAGTGCAGAACATTTGAATATAATGTCTGGGACATAATAAACACAAAAATCATTCCTTTCTTCCTTCTGTGGTCCATTCTAGATGGTGTCGGTATCTTGGATACAGTTTGCTCCGGTAGCTTCACTTCTCTTAATGCAGTTAATTGATGCTTACAAGGCCTTTAGTTTCTTCTTACCAATGTTGTAATTCTTTCAACACTTGAGTTTCAATATATTGCCAGTTTCTATGTTAAACACAATGTATGAAAATAAGTGGGGCCCTAGTCTGGGACCTAGTGAGGCCAAAGTTCCTTGCTACCAATCTTGACAACTTGATTTTTTTTTTTTTTATTGAATATAGATTGTGTTTAGCCAGGCAGTGCTGGTATATGCCTTTTGTCTCATCACTCAAGAGAGAGAGAGGCAGGTGGATCTCGGAGTTCGAGGCCAGGCTGGTCTACAGAGTGAGTTCTAGGACAGCCAGACCTACACAGGAAGACCCTGTCTCAAAAAAACTCAAAAAAGAAAAAAAGCTCTTTCCAGATTCTCCCTACTTCCCCACCAACCCAAATCCGTACCCTTCCTCTTTCATTAGAAAACAGGCATCTAAAAATAATAGAAATAAGATAAAATAAAAACAAACCAGAATAGAACAAGACAAACAATACAACAAAAAGTCAAAAATCGAAACACAGGTGCTAAGACTCACACATTCATACACATACATAGAAAGCCTATAAAAACAAAATTTGAAGCCATCATGTATAAAGCAAGAAATCTGTAAGGGAAAAAAAACTGCAGACAAACCATTATGAAAAAAAAAAACAACAAAAATACCACTGAATCTGATTTGTGTTGACCATCTACTGCTGGGCCTGCCCTTAAGTGTGCTCTGTCTACCCAGTGAGAGTCCAATGAAGAAAACTATTTCCTCCTTTGCAAGCAGTCATCAATTGTAGTAGCTTCTGATTAAGGAGTTATGTGTCTTCTTTCCCTCTCAGTGCTGGGTCCCCATCTGGGTTAGACCTGTACTGCTCATATGCATGAAGCCATAATCTCTGTCCGATCATATATTTACCATTCCTGTTGTACCTAGGCCTTGTTTCCTTGGTGTGCTCCACCTGCTCTGGCTCTTGCCATCTTACTGTCTCCTCTTCCACAGAGTTCTCTGAGCCATGAGGAGAGGGGTTTGATGAAGACACCCCATTTGGGATTAAGTGTTCCAAGATCTCTCACTCCCTGCACATTGTCAAGTTGTGGGTTTCTGTATTTGTTCCCATCTACTGCAGGAGGAAGCTTCTCTGATGATGGCTGAGCAAGACACTGACCTATGGGTATAGCAGAATGTCATTAGTAGTCATTTACTAGATCCATGGCCTATCTAGTCTTGGGTTCTTGCCCAACTCAGGAATTGTCAGCCCTCTCCTGCAGTAGGGCTTGACTCCACTCAGACAGTGACAAGCTGAGGTTTTCCCTGGACTCACATGATGAAAGGAGAGAACCAACTTCTCTGACCTCCACAAGCCTATTACGGCAAGTCATGCCCACCCACCCCCATACTGACATAAATAAACGTGATTATATTTTTTTAAGATAAAAGATAGCCTCTGCTTTCAAGCTACTCACCATCACTTAAACATGGTATACACAGAAGGCCTGGGTTTGATCCTCACAACTGTACAAACTGGACTGGAAGCTAGTCAGAAGGCCAACATCTGTTTCGGCTAGCATGAGACCCTGCTTAACATTTTTTAAAAAATTGTTAGATGTCTGATGTGGAAACGTAGTTAATTTAAGGTGCTTATTTGCTGAAAAGTAGTCTGGGCCTTAGGTGAAGTTCAACCTAAGGCTGGAAGGGAATAACACGCCTGTCGAGAAATCATTCAGCCTGGGGATTACTGTCCCAAAACAGTTAAGTCAGAAAGAACTTAAGAGGAAATGAGAATGTGTAGCAGGTTTCTTTGTTCTATGAGCATCACATGCAGGGATTGCCCCCAAAAGTTGTGTCTAAATTTCCCAGCCAATCTGGAAAGTCTGCCTGGCATGGGCAGACCGGAAGGGGCACGCCTTATAGCGCAGGGCCACCAGAGGGCGTCGAGCAAGCAGCGACCAGAACAGCAGCATGGCAGCGGCACGGTTGCTGCTGCGCTTGGCCGGGCGGCTGGAGTCGGTGAACTTCGCGCAGAGTGTGTGTGGCCTCCTGGGCGCAGGGCAGGGCCCCGGGCCATGGTACATACACTGCAGCTGGCAGCGCGGACAGCTCATCCTCTCCAGCAGTTCATTCCCCGGCGCCTTGGAGAGGCTTCCGATCCAGGTCTGGACAGGGAATCGCAGGGAAAGTGAGGGTGGCTTGAGGACCGCATGCGGGGAGGGTGGTGACTGGCCAGCTCCCACCGCGGGCACCCCTAATTTCTGGAAGTCTCACCCTGCTTCAAAACCTTAGCCCGGTCAACTCCCTCTTGTCAGAGACCCCCTTTCTGCCCCTTTGCGGCTCTGGGCCAGCAGCCTGGGGGCTCCAGGATGGAGCTGCCCACAAACAGAGGTGTGGAGGTGGGTGTGGCTGTCATTCTTCAGTCTAGTGACCAGACTGTCTTGTTGACCCGAAGACCATGTACTCTCCGCATCTCCCCCAACGTCTGGGTCCCTCCAGGTGAGCACCTAGGAACAGACTATGGAAGACAGTGCGCTTTCCCTTCACATTGCTATTGGGTAGTCCGGTACAGTGGTGGCCCAAGGCGTATGTCCACAGCTACAACCTTCTCTGCCCACTGGAGGATGGGGTCCCCGGTGAATGCAACCACTATTGACTATTGGGTCCACTCTTCTTGCAGGTGGCCACATGGAACCCGATGAAGAGGTACCAGTCTGCTGACCCAACCAGGAGACCTATGAGTGGGATCACCTTGGGTGTGGGCTGAGGGACAAAGGAAATGACATTGTGGGGTTAAGCTTTGGACATTCTGGCCTGCTCCCTTTGACTCCCAGATCCTTGAGTGTGGACTTCGAGAACTGCAGGAAGAGTGTGGATTACAGCTGCCCCCAAACCAGTTTTCTTGTGTCCTTCTGGGTCTGTGGGAGGTGAGACAGACATCAACGACCCCTAAAACCCACTCAACAACCCTTATCTGCCTTGGCCACGTGGGAAAGGAAATGTGGATGGACTGGAATCTCCAAACCATGGCCCTCACCTATGTCCCTCTTACCTGTTACCTGCCACCCACTCCTTGGGCTCTGGGCCAGCATTTTGTCTCCCTAAAGCTGAATCTACAAAGTCTCAAGAGCTGGAAGTCTGTCAATATGTTATGTGGCTCTGTTGGTTTTGCTTTGCTTTGTTTTAGTCTGCCTACCCTCCCAGGCTGAGCTGGGGTCTCCCCAGACACCATCACCTGTTTCTCTTCGTACTTGTAATCTCCCAGGAGTCACAGCAACAGCTCCAGGTAGGCTTGGCAGTAGTGGACGACAAGATATACCATATGGCTCTGACTGTGACTAAGAGGACTAAGGGTGATGACCACGCTACAGGCTGCCCATGCCCCCAGTCTGTCTCCTTGCCCCCTTGGCCTCTTCCCCTAAGTGGTGAATCAACATGTCTAACCCTAGGCCCGGATCCAAGTAAATCCAAAGGAGGTGAATGCCTTTATGTGGCTGGAGCCAGATGTAGCAGCAGCTGTGGCTGCCAGGGAGGATGGCACAGAGACACTTAGACTTCTCCAGGGCCTACCACCCTCTCTCAGGTAAGAACTGTACTTTAGCTACAGGCATATAACAACACACATGCATACGCATACCTGGGCGCATTGCAGCTTGGAGTTGCAGGTTGTAGAAGAGATTTGGGGAGTGAGTTAGTCTACTGATAATTAAAAGACCACCGGAGATCAAATACTCCAAGTATTAAGCGTTCATGCTCCAACTAGCTAGCATTGAAGACCTTGGTTTGAGCCCCTACTCTTCCACAGGACAAAGTCACTTAACCCGCCTTGAGTATGTCTCCTTTTTGCTAAGTGAGGGTAACACTCACTTGCCTTATGCAATAGTTGGAAGGATTAAATGGCCCAGCATACTAAAAGTTCATTGTAAGCCACAAGGCACACCTAGACAGAAACTGTTCCAATCCAGTGCAACCGAACTGAAGGATGACAGAGAAACCCAACCTCTGATCCTGCCCATGTCCACGCTCTTGCGGACAACCCCAACCACAGCTGAGGACAAAGAACATGTCAACACTGGAGCCAAGTTTGCTCTCAAGCTCTGGCTGCAGCATCTGGGCCGCTGAAGGTAAAGAATGACTTGAGGGTACCACAGCATTGGGTTGGATGGTCTAGTGTTCTTATGGACACCACATGATTGCTGTGAATGCCCCCACTTCCTCCAGGTAAAAGTGAAGTTTACATGGAGCCCAGACCAGCAAAGGAAGGATGGGGGTCTGTAAGATGGTTCATGTAAAGGCTTCTGCTGCCAAAACCTGAGATCTGAGTTCAATACCTGCAATCTCCTTCAAGGTAGCAGGAGGCCTCAAATGTGCACATGCAAAGCCAAGGCTCATGTGCTCACATACACAGTAATAAAAATTTTAAATGTTTTCTATAAGTGAAAAGATGGAACATGGACCCTCTTCCCCACAAACCGGGGGTCTGGAAAGGTAGGTACAAAATCTCTACTCCATGATGGTCACAGAACATTCACAACCTTTATTGTAGGTGAGAACTCTGCTACAATTCTGGGAATAAAATCACAACATAGGGCCTTGGCCCTAAAGGGGCCTGAGTATTGGGAAGGAGAACACAGAGCCCCCATGTCCCACAAAAGGTGCAGAATGATCTAGGCCTGACCACAGGTCACTAGAAGTGTAGGCCCTTGGTTGTTTAGCATAAGAAACATTGTGAACTTAAATATATAAATAGAGAGACCCAGACAGTAGGCAGGCCAAGCCCTGCTCCCATGCCCCTGGGAATCACAGCTAAGGCCTTGTTTCCTCCTCAAGTCATACTGGGAAGTAAAAGGCAGGGGAAGTCATCTTTGGATAATTTTGGGTTTTCTTATTTATGTACAAAAAAGAAATCTGCAGCCCAAAATAGAGTTCTCTGTCCAACTTGAAGCTTCATGTCTCAGATCTGCCACCGAACTGTGTGGCCAAAGAGAACGGAATGGACATGAAAAGGACAGATGTTTGGATTTAGGAAGAGAAAGCATCTTGGGGGCCAGGAAAGTGCCTTTTCGCCCTCTTCCCTCAGCTCCCATCCTTCTGCCTGCCTCCCACTGCCTAGGTCACCATACCCAAAGGAATGTGCCACCATCGAAGAACACTTCCAAAAACAGACCCCAACACCCTTTAAAGCAGGTTAAATGTTAACCCTTTGAGTATTGGCCTTGTTAGGCAGAGATAAGGCCAAAAGCAGGTATCCATGAAGGCCTGGTCTGGCCTCTGGCCAAAGGACCCCAGAGGGATCAGGATAGCCAGGGGCTGGAAACCCACAGCACATCTGCTCAGTGCTGGGGGCCAATGAAGGTTACATAATCCAAGTAATTCAATCCAAGGAAATAACATCTGACCGCCGGCCACTCAGAGAGGGACCTGAAGGCAGGGGTCCTCCATGCCCATCCCTCAAGGAACTCCCAGGAGACACAATGCTGCTGACACGGCCAGGAGGGGGCGCTGGAGTGGAGCTACGGTGAGAGCTTCCCAATGTGGGAGCCAGTGGGCCCAGGAAGTGGGAAGGGGTTCCCCGGTACTGGAAGAAGTGACCAAGGGTGTCCTGCTCATCTAGTGAAGTGATGACAGAAGGACCGTAGTGCTAAGGGAATAAAGGGCACAGCTTCAGGTTTTACCCCACTTACCACCTCCCGATACTCATCCTGAAACTACTCTGTGGGTACCAACCCTCATGCATCTCAGGGCATTCTAGAGAGGAGAAGGAGGGACCTCTCCGACTCTGCCTCACTTCCCTAGACTCTTCCCCTGTGCCTTGCTTTGAAACAGCCCTCCAGATACCTAGTCCTCAGCCTTGTGGGTGTCTGAAATGTGTGCCACGCGCATGGGGGAAGGCGCGAGTAGGCAGAAAGACAACTACATGAAAGGATCTCGGAAGGTATAGGTGTGAGCATGAAGTGCCAGTGAGGAGGGGAGATGGTGCCATCAGTGTCTAGAAAGGGCTCTTCTGAGAGGGAGAGACCACTTACCTGACTCTCAGTCTGAAGGAAAGAAAATAAATCTAAACCTGGTAGGAAAAGAAAAATCAAAATCAATCCCCTTCGAACTCCTTCACCACAAGAAAAAAATCCCCCTATCCCTGGGGCTCTGCAAAGAGTATGACAGGGCAGCGCCCTCCCCCTTTAGGATCAGGGTGATACCTTGGATGTCAGCCCCCAGTGGGAAGGCGGGTGGAAACTCATGTAGTGGGAGACTGGACAGAAAATCACTGCCCAGTGTGCCCATTGCAGGGCTCCGCAGCACCGAAGATGGCTGGTGACCAGATGTCAGGACACTGAATGGAGAGAAGGAGCTGGAGAAACTAGCCAAGCACAGATGGCCTAGGTCCCACTCCGTCCACCCTTCCCTGTCCCAAGGCCTGCCTGTGATAGGAAAGCCGTCTGCCAACCTGTCCCTTCTGCTACAGAGGCAGCCTTTTCTCATACCCTTTGCCTCCAGGAAGGGCTGGAATGGTGGCCGAGGTGACAGGGCAGTGCTTCTTGGTTGGAGGCAAATCTTCCTCATCTGATGAGCTTTCGATTGTCAAATCAATAACTTCAACTCTCTTCTTATTCTCTGATGGACTTCCCTCTTGGACTGGGCTATACTGCAGGCCTGTGGGTGGTTAAGACTGTGTCTCAGAAAAAGGGCCATCCATGATTTAGCTCAGTCGGGGAGCAGGGGGTCACTCACCATCCAGCCCATACCCTGGCGGGGGGCAAACCTCAGATGCCTCCTTCTTAGGTTTCATCGGACACCAGGATCCATCTTCCATGAACTGGATCTCATCACAATCAGAACAGGAATTAAGAATCTCCATGAATAAACTAGGGGAGGAGGACATGGGAATTCATGAGGCTGGGAGCTGGCGGAACAACAGTGTTCTAAGACTTACTTCCTGTGCCTCAGTCTCCTCATCTGTATTGTCCACCCTACTGGACCTGAGTTGTTGCTGGAATAGAAGTAATTCACAGGCTGGGACTATAGCTCAGTAACAGAGCACTTGTTTAGCATGCGGGCCCCGAGTTTGAGCCCTAGCACTGTGGAGGGAAGTATGTAAAAGAGATTCACAAGTTTTTTTTGTTTTTTTTGTTTTTTTGAGACAGGTTTTCTCTGTGTAGCCCTGGCTATCCTGGAACTCACTCTGTAGACCAGGCTGGTCTTGAATTCAGAGATCTACCTGCCCCTGCCTCTGCCTCCAGAGTGCTGGGATTAAAGGAATGCACCACCAGGCCCAGAAAACTTCACAAATTTTAGGTGCAGGTTTAAAACTTCTCAAAAGACAGTGTGAGAGCCCTAATGGAGGCTGTGCTAGGGGACTAAAACTACTTAGGACCAAAAAAATTATTTGCTTGTTGGGGTCGTAGAAGACTAGCTATATAATTATATCCAGAAATAAGAAAAAAGTAAAAAAAAAAAAACACCCTTATTGTGCCAATCTAATAGCTGCTACTTGTAATAGTAAAAATGAAAAGGAACGAAGGAACATTACAGCTATGTGCTGTGGGAAGTTCAGGTAGTTGTTACTGGCAATATATTGGAAAAATTCGATGTACTGCTCTGCCATTTACGAATGTGACCTTCAGCTCTAGTCTTTCCTCATCTGCGATGATGGTACATATGCTGTGGGGCTATGATGAGGACGCAATGAGAAAATGCATGCAAAATACTGAGCATGACGTATTAGCTAGCCTACGTCCTTGATGTCACACACACACACACACACACACACACACACACGGTGGATGACTAAAGGAGACACGGGGGTTAGAGCTGCAATTCATGAGACATAAGCCATAAAGTGAGGGAAGGCATCTAAGTGACTGTCCTAGCAGAGAGGGAAGCAGCAAAGCCCTACCCATCAATAATAAGAGATTCATAGGGAGCCTTCTTATCACACACAGGACATGTCCATGTTGGCTTCTTCTCATTCATCTGTAGATAAAGGGCAGCATCAAAGCTCTGCAGGTGGGCACAGGTAAGGGCACGGCATGGGACGGTCAGACGCATCTTCCCTAGCTGACGAGAGGAGAGTCCATTATAGAAAACGTTGCTCTAGTATCCTTAGGGACCCTCTTCAGACTTTAACCCAACCCTCCTCCCACTTCCTTTCACCCCAAGTACCCACCGGGCACATGAGTGACACCCGGAGACTTGTAGTAGCCACCTCACTGTCAGGGTCAGCGGTCAATTTCTCCTTGACTGAAACAAGAGTGAGTCCAAAGTCATGGGGTCAGCGAGGCTGGAAGCAGCCTGGAGACGGCCCCAGCTGAGAGGCAGCTGAGCAGAGTCTTTGGGGGCCCATGGCATGTCACAGGAGTGGGTCTGTACCAAGACAGCTGGGTGTGGAGAAGTGAGTTCTCATCCCTGAAGATGCTTAAACACTGCAGGGTGAAATGTGGGCTACATTAGGGACCAACTGGATGGAAAAAAAGCATCCAGTGAGGGTTAGCTCAAATCAGTACCGAGAGCTCACATCTTAGTAGGGCTGGAATTAGGGTCTTGGAGATACAGAACTGTTGTATGATTGGGAGTGCAAAGCTATTCCCATTGCTTGAGGATCTAATTTCTCAACCACAGAGACTGAGAAGCACAGGCTTGGGGGAGGGCTGGAGACCATGTAAGAGAGCCTGTGACAAAACCTGGAGGGCAGCAGGAACCCCTGAGCCAGATGTGGAAGAAGGAAAAGGCTGATACTCACTCAGTGCCCGGGAATGGTCTGGATTCCGGATACCCTTCGCTCTGAGTTTTTGTAGAAGGGTCCCTGCGGTTAACTGCCTCACCAGGTACACAGACAAGGAATAATTCTACTTGGGGAATGGGAACAGAGCATTAGTTTCTGCTTCCTACCTCCCCCTTCCCCACATACTTTGTCTCACAACGAGAGACTGGTCTTGATCAGAGAGGCCCAAAAGAACAAAATGAATCCCCAACCCCAAACTAGATGGCTCCCCTGCAGCCTCTGCTGGCCTTCCAGCTCCACTCACCCGTCCAAACTCAGATGACCAATTAACCACAATGGTGTTGGGAACTGTGGCTGAGAGCCGAGCCAGGGATGTAATGTTGATTGGACGGCTGGGCCTCTTGGGCTCTGCTCCATTCTTGGTTGGGGGAAGGTAACCCTGAGGAAGGGAGGGACTTGTTAGAGGAGACAGAGCACTGGGAAGGGGTTCAACTCTAACAACAGAAATCCTGTCTCAGATTTCTCTCTGGAGGGAGGCCAGCTCACTCATGAGCAATGGAGTAGGGATCCACTCAGAGATGCAAAACAAGGGCCCTACACAGGGCTCTGAGAGGCTCACTTCTGGGGGGCAGAGCTTATTTATTAACCAAGGAACTAGGAACCCAGCCAGGGAATCCCAGGGAACAACAGGGACACTTCTCATCTTCTACTTTCATCTGACGTTGTAACCTCTTAGAAGTCTTTTCTAAACCTTTGCATTAAACTAGTGTCCCTCTTCTGGGTTCTGACAAAAATTATTCAGCCCTATTTTATTTTACTTATTTTTTTCTAACTCTTTGAGAATTCCATACCATGTGTTTTGATCCTATTCACTCTCATCCTCGATTCTTCCCAGGACCCCGGCTTTTCTACTCACCCAACCTTGAGCCCCACCCATTAACATATCAGGTACAGTTTGTGTTGCCCATAAACTCTTGAATGTATGGCCTTCCACAGAAGCATGGGCTCTGTAGATTATAGTGATAAACTGAGCAACTACTACATGGCAGGCATTGTGCTCAGCATATCTTTTCATAAGAGGTTTTTACTTAATATTTATTTGTTGCCAAAAGGGAAGAATCTTTACCTACCGGCAGGGGGCAGAGTTTCCCATTAACCTTGACAAAGAGGTTAGGGGGAAAATAGTCCTCCTGTGGGCAGCTAGTCTCACAGAGACAGAACCTGGTGAGAAAGGACAGGTAAGTGGCAGTTTTCTGAGATGACTGAAGCAGGGAACTCTAGACAAAAAGCAGTCAGAACTAATTTGCAGTGCCCAGCATCCAGAGTGGACTGGGCAGAACAAGCAGATGAGTATGCCATACCCCTACGTAGCACCCATCCTTGTTAAGAAGCAACTCACCTTAGCTGCACTTGTATGGTATAATCACACTTGGCTCCTGGCAGAACCTCTCTGCAATAGAAAGAGAAATGTCAATTCAGAGGGTGGGGCTAGGCAGAGAGAAAGATGTCCAGGGTGCAGACAGAAGACAGGCAGAAGAACAAGAGACGATGTAGAACAGAGAAGAAAGGCAGAGGCAAAGGCAGGGGGGAAAGTCCCCACAGACAAGGCAGGGATGAGAGATGTACCTGGATGTGAGAATCTGCTGCACCTGCTGGGGAGTGAGGGCAAAGGTAAAGTGCGCTTCCTCAAACCTCTGGCTGGAGGTGGATGCTGAGGACACAAACACACAGTCATTCCCAAGCCCATGCCTGGGAAGCTACTTGCTCCCATCCCAGATTGCTGGTTCTACAACACTAAAATCTAAGAAGAAAAAAAAACCCGAGCCTGAACCAGAGTCCAGAAAGGAACTCTGAGGGACCATAGCCCAGCCATACCGAGGGTGGTGGGCCGGATGAGCTCCCCATAGACTTCGTAGAAGGGCAGCGGTTTCATGGTGACATCAGGGTGCACTGGCTGGGGCAGAGGTGGGTGCATGTCCACCTCGCGCTTAGGGCCCAGCAGGGCCCCAGGGGTTAGAAGGGAGGGAGGGATGGGAGCTGGAGGGCCAGGGGAGCCTACAGGGGAGGTGCCAGGGGGTAAGGAGAGCAGGGAAAGGTCAGAGGGCCCCAGGGCCTTCCTGGGAAAGCGCCTGCGGTAAAGTTCTTTGATCTTCATCTGGACACTGGGGGCACAGCTGGACTTGAGGAGATGCAGGGCCTTGGCCAGGAGCTCGTGTTTCCGTCCACTCTTGTTCCGGCCAGCGAAGCCAAGGAGCACCTGGAGCTCAGACACTCGGAAACTCATCACCATGTGCTAGGAGAAGAGCACAGAAATAATCCCATGCCACGTCACAAAAGCCTGTCCTGCTGATGACAGAAGCAGAACTCCTGGGGGGACAGTGCCTCTCCCCTCCACCCTCGGTGTTGGAAGGTACTTCTAAAACTAGTGCACTACCTCCAAGTAGCTGACCTGACTAGCTGAAACCACAGGGACCACTTAGCCCCATCCCCACCCCTGATCCAGACATTCCCTTAAGCTGATTATAGTCTCTCCAGGGCTCAGACTCTTAGGGTGTTCCTAGCCTCCTGGGAAAAGGATAGGACAGGAGGAGGAAGAGAAGGATTCGGGGCAGGCAGCCCCATGAGGAAGAAAAAGGCCAGGTGGCTAGAGGATTGTATACCACAGCCCGCCCCTCCCAATCACCTCAATCCATTTATTCTCCCCATATCTCTGAATTGAAGCTTCTATGGTCAGGAGTTTTAGGTCAAAGTTCAACATTTCATCATCATCATCATCTCACCACCACACACACACTTTTTATATTATATACATACCCACACTCTTTTAGTCCTGTTTTACTAGAAGGAAGCTATCAAAACTTGTAGGGGAGAAGGGTTAATCCACATGTCTAGGTAATTGACCTGATTTACTCCCTCATACATGGTATACACACCCACAGGGGTGGAAACCAGGGGCAAAGTTCTCAACAGAGATCCCAGAAAAATGATACTGATGTCCATGGACCACCGCACAGAAGTAAGCTCTTCTTTTGTTTGTTTTTGAGACAGTTTCTCTGTGTACCCCTGGCTGGTCTCGAAGTCACAGAGATCCTCCTGCCTCTGCCTCCCTAGTGCATGTGCCACCACTGCCCGGCTCAAAAGTAAGCTCTTAAAAGGTGGCTAGAACTCAAGCCTGTCTAGGACAAGGACGGAGCAAAGCCAGAAGATGGGGGAAGGAAGGTCCAAGGTTCCGAGGGATGTCCTCCTTGTAGGGCTCCCTTCTGTAAATGCCTACAAGACCTAGTCGTGGGCAGGTCATTAGCTCTCCAAGTTCTTTTCCTCTTGGGCTCCTTTTCAGGGATGTGATGAAAACCTTGTCCTTCTACCTTTCCATTCTCACCTCCTCCTATTTGTATTTTTTTTTAATTTCTCCGCTGGCTTTGTAACTTATTTTCTATCCCATGGCTCACACTCCTCCACCTCTCCCAAGACAGAGAGCCTCGTTAAGACAGTTCCCTCCCCTCAGCCATCAGGATGCTCCTGCCCCATCCCTTCAGGTACACTCCCATACAGCCCCGCCCCCTACGTCTCAGCTGCCAACTGGTACTTCCCAAGGCTCAGATGCCAACAGCAGCAGCCCGGGAGCCTCCATCCTCAGCCGCACGTCCCCGGGAGCCTGCCAACATTTGGGTGGCCTTCGGCTCCCATCCCTACGTCTCCCCTTTACTGCCGCATCTCTTGCCCCGATGGGACTCGCCCCTACGCCTCTGGAGCGGCTGTCTCTCGCCTGACGCTACCCTGCAAAACCTCCTACTAAAAGCGGCTACG